AAACTAGTAAGGCTGACGCCTGAAGTAGAAGTCTCATTGCTCAGGTTAAGCCAATCCTGTTGCATGAAACCTCTACCCTGATTTAGAAAGGAGGACAATGACAAGTGGGTGCCCCACTTCGTAATGTCCTCACATACATTGCACATACACATCCCCAGTACACTGTGGGGTTTTCGATAGGTAGTGGCCTTGTAAGACACGACCATCTCTTTATGCCCTTTAGAGAGAGAGCGTTACACTACCATTGAATAACCCAATGTGTAGTGCTTATATAGATCTGAGGGGCATGACCCTCCCAACTAATCACATCCTGACTCTTGTCCTATCACGAGGAGTTAAGGAAGATCTTTGCTGTCAGCACCATCATTCACATAATAGGTGCTCATCTCCATATCACATAAGCAACACGGTACCATCATTCACATAGTAGGTACCCATTCACATGTAGCATAACATCAAATAAACAATATAGTACCATCATTCACACAATAGGTACCCATTCACATGTAGCATAATCGTGGTAATATCGCATTAACAGTGGCAATATTACGATAACAATGGCAATATCACACTTAAGCATATAGCATAATTTATGCATTCATAGACCACGACATGCGTTCAAGGTTTGGGTCCTAACTCTTGGACCAATTAGAGTTTAAAAACGGTTCCAAAACCATTTTTGTACTAGACACACCAATCTTTCAAAGGTAGATGGTTTGAATATAGTTGAATCTTATTTGGTCCCCCAAAGGTTCACAAGAATGCGAGTCCAGTCGTTGTACTCTGCATGTGTGCATGGAACAACGACGTACCCTACTTCACAAAGCTATAACTTTAGAATTGTGAGGAATTTGAGATATTTCAAAAAACCAAAATTCATGCCAAAACACATATATTTCCATCAAGGTCAATTTTAAAGAATTTGGACTCCATTTGGTTATTCAAAAGTTCATTCCAAATAAGGTGATAATTTTGGTTTTTATCAACTGCCAACAGTGGTACATCTTCACAAAATAATGCATATCTTCCAATCTATTAGGAATTAGAAAATAATTTTTCATGCAACTTTTAGTCCTTTCAAGGCTCTTTCAAATGGCTGTGATTTGGTAGGAATTGGACTTTATTTGGTTGGTAAAAAGAACAGTAGGGTTAGTGCAAAATCCAGAAAAATAGTGAAACAATGACCTACCCACACAATTCGAAATATATCTCCCTTTTTGTAAAGAATTTTAACAAAAGAAAAACATAAACATTTTATGAGACTCACATGGCTTTCCAAATGCAGTAATTGGAGGCAAATCGGAGCTCGTTTGACCATTGAAAACCATTTTAAAAGTTCCTGAAATTTCACAGTGGTACTAAGCATGCCTTAAGAACATGCTCCATAACTTCAATCTCTTGCCAAAGAACATGATAATCACATTTTCTTCACATTATAACCACATAAACATACATTGCTCACACAATCATGATTCATCCATTCACTCATAACATTCACATTCATCACAATATAAAATCCCAAATTTCAGTGGAAAAAGGCGTAAGGATTTTCAACAATACATATACTTCCATTTCTCATTTCACATACATAAGTTTCCATGCATCCTTATGACTATAGTGCAATGGTGAAGGATCCACTTACCTGCACAGCAATAGTGCCTTCTCACAACTCTGCTTGCATAGCTCCACCCTTAGTCCAACAATGGCTGCCCACCTAACTTGTCTGAGAGAGAGAGAGGGAGAGAGAGAGAGAGAGAGAGAGAGAGAGAGAGATGAAGGGGAAAATGAGTGGTGGAGAGAGGGAAGAGGCTTAAGTATTCTTGAAAGTGGGGTGGCTTGTCCAAGTGGTGTAAAAAGGCTTACACATATGGACACGTGGCTTCAAGTCAGCACGCACTCTCCAAGTGGAGCTTACAACTCATGCATGCCTTGAACACGGGCGGCAGTGACCAGCCAGCGATAGCCTATTCTTCGCGTAGCGTTACCGCTTGTGTGTGTTGTGCGCCCTTCATTTCACTACGCGCTTCTTCCTTTCACTGTGTCGTGCGTCCTTTGCTTCGCCGTGCGCTTCCGTTCTCTTTTTCTCATTTATCGTTGTGCGCCTCCATTGCGCCTATTGCCACGCGACTTCACCCAACGCCTACCGTCGCGTGACCACTCCTGCTGCACTCCTCCCTTCGCCGTGCTTCTACCCTCGCCGCGCACACCATCATCGCGCGACTCATGCTGTTGTGCGCGCCATCGCCGTGCGACTCTTCTCTCCTTCTATCGCCACGTGGCTCACCCTCTATTCATCCCGCCATGCACTCAACTCAACCGACCGGGATAGTTCGGGTCCTTACAATAACATAGGTTTTTCCTAACCGATTGACCTAGTTCGTAAAACTCAGTTCGGTATCAGCAAACGTAATTTGCTTAGTAAGGTCCACGATAGTAAGGTCCACGAATGATCACACTTCCGCTGAGTTCATGTTCCATTATACCAAAATATTTATTACAAGCACTCATAAGGCCTTTAGTGGCCACACTCACCCAACATGTGGGACTTGGGCCCATGATGTTTAGGTGGCACAGAAGACCTAAATATTAGAAAAAAAACATAATAGTTTCTCTTCATGGCTTCTCCCTCTTCATCCAGGTGACCATTCGACCATAATAGCATCACAAAGAGGTTCCATGAGTGGGTTTAATGGAAATATTTATTCATCGAGCCTTGGGCTGGGCAGATACTTAACTTGCTCGGAGTTGCAAAAAGCCACAAAAAACTTCAACCAGTAATCATTAATTGTGGTTGGATGCTTTGGAAAGTGCATTAATTGGGGTTGGATGGAAAGTGTACGAGAGAGAGAGAGAGAGGGAGTTGGGAAAACCCACTAACTTTGGGTATGAGAGAGAGAGAGGGAGGGGCTAGAGAGAAAGGAGTTTAGAGAGCGACAGAGGGGTCAACGGGAGGTTAAGTTTTGATAAAATGGGGTCATTTTAAAAACTGTGTAGGTCAGTAATATAAGGTCAAAATAATTCAGGGAGTTGGAAGATAGAAAAGTTAAAGACCTCATGCCGTTAAAAATAGTTTAAACCCTTGGGTCTCCTCAGAAATGGCTCCAAAATATAAGGGGTGATGAGAAATTTTCCCTAATTTTATCGTAAAAATTCCTTAACAGAATGATAAAACAAAACCCTGCTTGTTCAAAGTTAGAAATAAAGAATAGCTTGTTTGATATTTAAAATAAGGAGCAATAATTAGAAATAAAGAATAGCTTGTTCGATATTTAAAATGAGGAGCAATAATTAGAAATAAAGAATACCTTGTTTGATATTTAAAATGAGGAGCAATAAGGGATATTTTTAGTTTGATATGTTCGGTAATTGAATTGAGAAATAGTAAGGGGTATTTACCTAATTTGACATGTAGCAAGCAATGAACTTTTGCGCGCGGAAAGCTTAAGCAATGTTTCGAAGAGCCATGGCCTTGTTCCCTTTCAAGGGCATTAAAACCCACCCCATGGTGATGATTCGATTACAACTCCAAATCCATAAATTTTTGTGATGAAACTAGACATCTAACTTTTCCATTTTCTTATTTCAAATTTCTTGTTGTGAAACCATTGAGTGAACAAAATACCCCTCATGTTAATTTATTTCATGTATATATTCCTCGTCAAGGAATGTTTATTAACATGAATGATTCAATTTGGGTAGAGGTCTAGTTTAATAACAATGCTAAAATAAAAAAAATGTGTTTTAAAGGAAAAATATTATATAGAGCCTAGGCTCTAAACAATCAAATTAGAGCCCACCTCAAAAATTTCATCTGAAGATGTTATTTTGATGCTCAAATTGATCATCTCGACATCAAGATGTATGGAAATGAGAAAAAAATGGATTTCAAGTTTTGGAAATGGTGCATCTTGTAATGCATTTTTGGACCATCAATTCTCAAGTTTTCACAAATCTGCTCGATCTACACTATGTTTGGAGTTTTAAATTTTATAATTAAAGATGAAAATATATTTTAAGGCACAAAGGTTTCCAGTATTGAAACCACATTTCTTGATGTTATTTGAAGGTGGGCTCTAATTTGATTGTTTAGAGCCTAAACTCTATACAAAACACATGCATACAATAAACTTCAAGATTAACGATAGATTACAAATGTGTCATTTTTCGATTCTAAATTCAGCATTCAGTCCACAAGAAGATCAATACCTAATCTGTCTTCTTAGGTAGTTCAAAGTTTGACTTTTACACTGTCAAAATATTTTTTTTTTATCTTACTGTATTAGGCAATTCAAAATTATCCAAACATATTAGTTTTTTTTTTTGTGTTTTAGGGGATCTAAAAGTTAGAACCCCAAAACTGCTTGAGTATAACTTTTTTATGCTGAAAATATAATTTCATTGTTTATATTTTTACAAATAAAAAAAACAATGAAACCTTACTGTAAAATGGCACAAATAAGAGATATTTTCTAATAGTGCATTGTACCTATATAAGTTGGGATTGTCTACAAAGAGGCCATTTATTTTTTTGTACATAGAGGTCACAATTATTCTTGTCCCTTAAATTTCAAAATGAGTAGGTATAAGAGGATCATTGAATAGACCCAGTTTTAGAAAACAAATTGTCAAACTTTATGACTCATCCCAAGCCATCAAATTTGATATCTAATGAGTGAGAATGATTATGACCTCCATAGACAAAAGATAAATGATCTCTTCATAGACAATTCCGTATAAATTTCGCTTGTGTCTCTCATATCTCTACCGTCATAACTTGTATCACATACCGTTATCCTACTTAGGGTGGGCCTAGGTAACAAAATATAACTGAGGGTCAGGCTTGAATCAGGTCAAAATAGGTCCGGCCCGATTCGGCAGGTCGAACCCTTATTTTTCCATCTTTTTGACTTTGTTTCCTTTTACGGGTCACGGTCGGCACGTCATTGGGCTAAAGCCAGGCTTGAACAAGATCGGGCTAGGGCCAGGACTGGCGGGGCGCGTTGCCACCCCTAATCCAGCTCTCCAAAGCGCTTATAAATCATTTTCCTTGTCACACGTCGCAGTCCTTCATGTACATGTGTCTCATGCACAAAATCCTTCATCCACGTGGTCCTAGCCAGTACACTTTTCATCTAATCCCAAGCTGAATAATCCATTTCTTGAAGTCTGTAAGTTTGAATCAATTCCTCGAACACCAGGGGCTCCTGCACAAGCTGTTGAATCCAAAGTAGAAAGAAAAGAAAGAGAGATGGAGAGAGAAGGAGAAAGAAGAAGTTTTTTGGCTATGGCTTTGTTGTTCATCTTCTTGGTGGCTTCTTCTTGTTCCTTAGTAGTGACTTTTGCAGAGGAAGAGAAGAATGTGTTGTTACAAGTTACAGAGAGAGGGGAAGAGAGTTTTGTGATGTTTATGAATAAGTACGGGAAGAAATATGGCTCAAGAGAGGAATATATTCACAGGTTGGGGGTTTTCCTAAGTAACATGAAGAGGGCAGCCATGAACCAGGTTTTGGACCCTTTTGCTGTTCATGGGGTCACCCCTTTCTCTGACCTCTCCCAAGAGGAGTTTGAAGCCTTTTACACTGGAATTCTCCCTTCTTACTCTTCGAATTCTCTCCCTACAGCACCTCAGCTGCCTGTCGATGGTCTGCCTCCGGATTTTGACTGGAGAGAGAAGGGAGCGGTTACCCATGTCAAGATGCAGGTCAGTGTATTTTCATTTATGTGACATTCTTCCAAATCAAACTAATTATCTGGTGATTAGCAATTCTTTCTCACACACATGTGGGAAGCTAACATCCATCCTGTTCTCAGCATTTACTACAATTGCGCATTTAGGCGTGGCAGTCGATGAGCTAACCCCACGGGTTGACTCGAGACGGCTCTGGACCCAAATATTGGACAGTGAGTTCCCAAGACCTAACGTCAGTTGGGTGTGGTTTGCGTTATGGAACTACACCTTATAGGCCTAGTTCGGCTAGGCTTAGTTGAGGTCTAGGACATGGTTGACCCGATCCCATAATATACTAAATATATATAATAATTATTTATTTATTTATTTGTTTTGACCTTTGGACTCAAACCAGGTCCAGATTAGGTCCTAGTCCAGCTAGGACTCAGTTGGGTCGTCAACCTTGACCCAACACGGACCCAACCCAACCCATTAACACCCTTGTAGAATTAAATACACCATCCAATATCCAAGTCAAACTTTTGTGAGTCTAGCTTGGCTTCGAAAAGGTTCTAATAAGAGAACTAGGACTTTTGCAAAGGCCTGGAGCATTCATACTATTCTCGGGTTTATCGGCTCGGAATCCCCGGTTTGACTCGGGCCATGAAACACCAAAAACATACAAGAGCTATGCAACACATATGGAAGGCATTTGTATAGGGAGTATGCATGTGGTGACATCCGCTCTAGCATGCATATGCACCTGCCCTAAGACTCTCATTTTGTTCTTTTTTTGGGTTAGTTGCTTGGGTTGTCTCTTTATGAGAACGGTTATAGTGAACCCTATAGAAATAAAATACATCATGATGCATGTATCATATTGATCGATAGGCTACAAGTGATATAAGCATTTCATTGATGTGTCCTGGGCCTCCTGTCGAGTCCATCAATCTCTCCCTCAACCATGGATAGAGCAGTGCACATCACATAAACCACCTGCAACAATTGTGGCTGAAGTTCCTTGCATGTAGCATATTTGACATTTTGCTACAAGTATCATATTAAAGAATCTACAGATTGCCGTCATTGGATGAGCTTTTCCGACTCCAGCAACTAAGCCCACTTTTGAAAAGATTGTTCTCCTCTCTAGAGCTCTCTATCTCCAAAACCCAGGAGCCAGAATTTCCAATCCAGTGTTAGAAACGTCGAGTCGCGCTGATTACTGGGTCCAGGGCCGAGACCGAGTAACTTGGCTCGAGTGGCAGCCAAAAAAAGGTTTAAAATTATAAAAATACAAAAGAAAAAAAAAAAAAAAAAAAAAGAAAGAAGTGAGACACCCAACTTGGGGTAAATCGGGCTCGCCAGGGTGCCGAGCCTGAGTACTCGGACCGAGTAGTCAACCACTGGAATTTTTAGTCAGTTTTGGCTATTCCAAGAACTTGGCCATGGTTGGGAAGTTAAGCTAACCTTGACAAAAATCAATCTGAGATACAGTCGATGTAAATGGAGTTTATCCTGGAATATGACAAACTACAATATAAGACTTCTCAAATCTAGCCAAAAACCATAGCAAAACAGTGCAAAATTGTGGCCACCCATAGAGGAACAAAAACATTAAGACAATTCAAGACCATTCCATAGATAAAACCAATGGAAAATAGAGTTCCAGTAAGTTCTTAGGGCCCCAATGTGTCTGAAACTTTGGGGCATAAATAAGTATCGGTCGTGGTCCATGAGTTGGAAACAGACTTCTAAGACACCCGCTTTGTCTCCCAACCTCCTTGTTTTGACTAGATAGGCTATGGCATAGATAGGTTGTGAAAGGTAACACCTCTTCTACTACCTCATCTGTCAAATTTTGTTGTTTTATGTTTCTGCAGCGTTGAGGGACTCGGCTGGGTAGCCCGGAGTTGTATGTACAACTTGGGATACATTAAAAAACAAATCCTTAAAAATTGCAAAAAACAATTGAATGTTGTATAAGTTTTTTGTGTATAATTTTAATGTGTTTGGAAAATATTTGTGGGTGTGTTTTTTTTTTGTTGCCATAGTTCCTTTTTCTTATGTTTTCCTTTTTTGATATAATTTTGTTAATGTCCCCAACTATAAGTCGATTTTTTTTTTTTAGATCTATTTTTTCTGTACTTTTTTAAGCTTATTTGGACTTTTTAACATTGATTTTGGTTTTATTTTACTTTTCCTACATTTATTTTAATTTTCATATTTTTGTTTTATTTTTTCTGGGTTTTTTTGCCCTGTACGGGGCTTGGGTGAGTCATCAGCAACATTGTGTTTTAAATTAGTACATATGTATATATGCAAATTGAAAGCACCCCAAAAGCCATGATTCCCTATCTACTACTTGATCTTTCAATGATTCTTTTTTTTGAATGTTAAAACAGTGACTTTCATTAATGTAGAGCGGAGCTCAAAATTACAATAGATGATCTTTCAATGATTTCTTAAACTGGATTACAATGTGACACCCGATTCCAAATATTACCTAGCCATTCTCCAATTACTTGGACCGGTGAAGCTCTCACAGTTTTATGTCATTATGTAAATGCACTCAATTCTCCACAAGAAAAAAATACAAGGTACTAAGGTCTTATGTTGTGGATATGGATATTTCTTGCTTTTCTCAGTTCAATTTGGAACTAATTTGATCAAATGCATGTGGAACATTAGGTTTTGCACTACATTCTCACGTATAAAACATTACATAACATGAGACATGGTGCATTGTTGGTGGTGCTAGGGAGCTTGTGGAGCATGTTGGGCTTTCAGTACTACTGGTGCCATGGAAGGAGCATACTTCATTTCGAGCGGGAAGCTAGTCAATCTAAGTGAGCAACAGCTTGTAGATTGTGATCACATGGTAATGTCCTTGTAATGCCAGCTTATTTTTTATTTTTTTAAAAATTTTCGTATATTGGATTTTTGCTTCGGCTAGTTCCCTGACCAAGGGATGTGTTGTGTTAGTGTGATGTGGAAAGTAGAACTGACTGTGACGATGGATGTAAGGGAGGTCTTATGACTAATGCTTTCGAATACGTGAGGGAAGCTGGAGGATTAGAAGATGAGAACTCCTACCCATATGTTGGAACTCGTGGTGAATGCAAATTCGAGCGCGAAAAGGCTGCTGTTGGAGTTCTGAATTTCTCTAAAATATCCATGGATGAGGACCAAATCTCTGCAAATCTAGTCCGAAATGGGCCCATTGCAGGTTCTTCCTATATCTTGACCGTGCAACTTCACATTTCTTACAATTTTGCGTGGGAGCCTATGGTAAAAACTGTTTTGTTGAACGTATAAGATGCATAAGCTTATGAATTAGGTCTCGACTCTTGACTAGAGGACTTCTACACAACTTGTTTTGATTAGAGTACTCTCTATTAGGTCTTCTGTAAAAGACTTGGACACAGGGTTTATTTTGTTACTCTCTCTCTCTTACACACTCAAGCTAACAGCAATATCTCCAAGCCCATCACACATGCAAAATACATGCTCAAATATCAGTGGACAACTTGCAGCAAAAGGGAATTCAATTCGTATCTGAATGCTGACCAAATAAGCAGAACTGGACACTAGAGCACATTATCTACCTGGACTTGAAATTTCTTTCATTATTGTGTTTGTGCCATGAGAAAGCTCCATATAGGCATTATCCTTGTGGAGTAAGGAATACCTTTCTTCAGACAACCTTACCAATTTTTTTTTTGCTTTTTCTTGTCATGATGTCAATGCATAGACACTCCTTTTGACAAATCTTGAAGTACTACTTATTTTTCTCATGGTTTCAGGCTTTCAGCACATTACCCGAGTGGGCCAAATGCAATGATGAAGTACAGTGAGAGCGGACTTGAAAGAGTTCCCAGTATGATTCTCAAAAATGATTTGAAGGGGTCCCTAAAAAGGTGCTCCAAGCTTTAAATTTAAGGTGTTCTAGGATGTGTGTCGTCAGTGAGTTTTTTATGACCACCTCTCTAGAGGCCTAGCTTCTCTCTTAGGCCTGGGCTTTATGTGGAACCAGCTCAAATAACCTGCTGCTTATCTATTTGAAAGCAAGAACTGTCTGGTAGACTAAGGATAAGGTCATTTTGTAGACTAAGGATAAGGTCATTTTGTTCTAGAACGAATTACTCATTTTAGAGGTCACCGAAGTTACGAGAGAAATGTTAGCCAAACTAAGTGTTAGATTTTGTGTTATCAATTGATATCTGAGTTTCTCATGTCTTGAACCAGTTGATTGTCGAATCGTACTAAACAGGATTATTTTTCTTTAAAAGTTGGTTATCAATGCCTGAGGCCTCTTACATAACATATGTTTTGACAAGCTAGACTTGTTTACCAGAAGAGCAATAAAACTGCAGATATCTACTGAAAAGCAGGTCTCAGCAACTGCAAACAGTGATCCAACCTTTGTCTTCTTTCTATTTGTTTCCTGTAATCTCTGTACTTTGTTGTGTCTGACGATCGTTAATCTCCTTTATTCTACTCTTCCCAATCCAGAAAAAGCCAAGAGTTCCATTATTTTTACTTTTCTTCCTCCTACTCATATAGAAAAGAAATATGGGATTTATTGTTTCCTCCTGCTATTTCCAGATAGCCGCTATTCCACAGCTAGCGGCTGCCCTTACCAGATAGGTCTTGGCAGTGTTTTCTACACCAGAAGCGTTCCAAAGGTGATTGACGCAGAGGTTCTGGTGGTATTCCCACAGAGGCAGAGGAAGATAATATTACAAATCCATTTAGGGGTCCATCCAAACTGGCCTTTGGTGCTTCATTTACCACTTTTAAGTTTTTTTACTTTATTTATTTGTTTTTTTTGTGTGTGTGCCTTTTTAGGATGAATATTCTCTAAAAATAGGTTTGGACAAGTTCTGAGCATTCCTGGATGTTCCAATCTATTTCCTGCGATGGTGTTATTTTCATTCTCTCAAAGCTCATCTAGGTTCTTGTCTACATTTAGTAGAACATGCTTAAGAGTTCAAGGTGATGGTTCTCAGATCTTCAGGCATTTTAACTGAGGAAACCTGCTCCCACAAACTTAATCATTCATACTACAAAAGGTGATCTTGAGATGAGGTGAATTAAAGATCTAATCACTTCTTTGCTATTAACAGGTGTATATCAATCCAGCATTATCAATTGCATTGCAATGTTTGTTAAACCTCTAAAATAGAACATTATCTGGAGTTTTGTTGTGGTAATTTTCAACCATTTTGTAAATTCGACTAAATTTGTGAACATTCGCAATGTAGATTGGTTCTTGATAAATAATTCTTCCCCAATGGATGGTTGGTAACTTATAGTGTACTTCATGCATAAATGGCATAAGCCTTGGCTCATTTTGATAGTCACTTTGATTTTTATGATGCAGTTGGAGTGAATGCCGCATTCTTGCAGACATATATCGGCGGGGTGTCCTGCCCACTAATATGCAGCAAGAGGCATGTGAACCATGGGGTTCTTCTTGTTGGGTATGGTGCAAAGGGGTTCGCGCCTTTAAGGTTAGGGAATAGGCCATTTTGGATCATCAAGAACTCGTGGAGTGATCGATGGGGAGAGCATGGATACTACAGGCTTTGCAAGGGTCATGGTATGTGTGGCATCCACACCATGGCATCAGCTGTTGTGACCACTGAAGCATGATAACTAAAAAGAAGGTTTGCTTGGTTTGATTTCATGAATAAACTTTAAGGGTCACTAAGACCAGGTATCACACCCTTAGGCCCTAGGACATAGGACATATCATAGTTTTTCTATAGATACAGGTAGTATTTAAAATTAGATGAACTGCTCTCTCTCTCTCTCTCTCTCTCTCTCTCCCAGAAAGGGAACCTTGTAAATTTGGAAGCTGAGATGGGAGTCTCAGGATAAGTGGATATCTATGTTCTTAATCCTATTAAATTTCATCTATGTTCGTATTCCCATAGGAGGTGGAATTAAAGCTTAGGACCTTAAGAAAACGGTTTGTATATCAAGTGAGTTAAAGCTAAGATGAGGCCTTTCAATGTGCAGCAACTTTTTGTTTTCATATTTGGGACAAAATAGACATCTTAAAATGCCATCAGAACATATATTCGAGTGATGGCATGAAAATCTATTTTTGCCTTAATTACGAAATTTGAAGCTAAAAAATGTGGATCCGGTATATATGTAGACATTTAAAAGGGTAGTTCAGGTTATGTTTTTTAATATACATTAATACGGAATTTTTTTTTTTTTTGGGTACTTGGAGATCACATATGTAAAATAGGGAAATTGGGGATGTTTAGGGTAATTGGGGATGTGTCATTAACTACGCATAAAGGCTAATATGATTTTTTAAAATATTGTAATATATTTTAATTCGTTAGATTTTACTATTTTTTAAAATATTGTAATAAATTCGTTAGATTTTAGATCTAATGTTAGTTATCTAATGGTTAATTGTTAAAAGTGATTGTAATTTGTATGTATAAAAGAAAAGTCTTATAATATAGAATTCTTATTTTAATAGCTCGAAATCCAATTTTCTTTTAAAGATGGATGAGCAAGTTTAGAATCTCCAAACCATAAAACTACAAATTCTCATGAGGTTTTCATGTGCAGTTCCACTATTCATTGTAAAGCTATATAAACGTTTTCCAAGTTTTAGGATTCTAACAGAACCATCTCCATAGCGCAAAGGACAATATGAAGCCTTAAACTTAAAGGGTGATGTTTGTATAATGTGTCCACCTTATACTGTATAAGTAAAGTACAACTCTAAATTTAGCTTGAAGAAGCACTTCTATCTTCAGTTCTAGCATTAGAAACCTTTCAAAATCCATGTCCAATTGTTGAGATGCACCTTAACATTTTTGACCTTCAAGTGAGAACGGTTTGCTTCTCAATTTTAAAAAGCCAACCACTAATCCTATGGTATTGCTAATGAATTTCAAAAATTGGGATTAAATGTATCCATTGATTGTTTCCATCATTCAATTCTCTTAATAAAAAGCTTTCTTCTTTTCATAAGCTTCAATATTGCATTATAATGTTTTCAAATTTTATCCTCACCCAAATTCATCTCTCGTGTATGGAATTGAAGTTTAAAAAAGCTAACCTGGGTTATTTTAGACGATTTAAGTAATTAATGGTATACGGATGCATTTGTAGAGGTAAGGTGCACTTTTAAATTTTATCATGGTATATAATTTTGATGTAAAATGTTTTTAAGATTATCTCAAAATTTATTTTTATATCTATTTACAAAATTTTAAATTTTAAAAATAGTTAAAATCAAGGAGATCTATAAACATATGAAAATCTTGAAAATGGACGGTGTAGATATTATGTTGTAAAATACATTATTTTTTGTAGATATTGTGTTGTAAAATGCACTATTTATGAGACTTAAAATCTTTTTATTTTTTATAGTAATACATCCAGATGTCGAGATGATCAATCAAAGGGTTTTTCAACATTGAAACTATATTTTCCGATAGATTTTTGAGGTGCTTCCGTAGTTCTATGTTTTAAGGTTGCATATTTATACAAACTTTTTCTTTTTTTAAATATGCAAACTTATCTATCCCTAAGCCGAAGCTTGATGGACAAGAACCGAAAATCTGACATTCCAGGATCGGGCATTCCCGAATCAGCCAAAGCCATCAGTAAAAGAGATGGTAATGTGGAGTTCACACGTGTGCCCGACTGTTCCGCTGCACTCATTGTTCGTACATTAACAGAAAGCATACTGTTTACACACGTGCATGGCCTCTCTCCGAACCAAACGTCTCAAAATATTGCTACAAATCCATGCACAAATCCTTAAAAACCCTAAACCCCATTTGCCCAATTCCATCATTTCTGCCTTTTCACATTCTCCAAACCCCAGTCATGGAATCCTGATCTACAACTTGATGTTCCAAAACTCAATTTCCCCTGATACTTTCACATTCACTCACACTCTCAAGCTATGCTCTCTCTTGCCTCACCTCCCAAAAGGGAAGGAAATCCATGGATGCATGGTGAAAACAGGTTTCCAATCAGATATCTTCTCTCTAAACTCTCTCACTCACATGTATTCTCTCTCTAAAGACATGGGTTCTGCCCTTCAAGTGTTTGAGGCCATCCCTCAAAGAGATGTGGTCTCATGGACCTCAATCATATGTGGGTTTTTGAGGAATGGTTTAGAGAGAGAAGCTGTTTCAGCATTTGCATCCATGGATATGAGGCCTAATGCAAGGACACTAGTGAGTTTGCTATCAGCATGCTCAAAGAGTGACTGCAACAGTGGTTTTGAGCTTGGAGGGTTGAGAGTGGGGAGATCAATTCATGGTTTTAGTGTGAGAAACATGATGATAGAAGGGAAGAGGGTTTTTTGCAATGCATTAATGGACATGTATGCCAAGTGTGGGGTTGTGGAGATTGCAAGGCTTGTTTTTTATAGGATGGCAGAGAGAGATGTGGTTTCTTGGACCACCATGATTTCAGGCTATGCACATTGTGGGTGCCTTGAGGAAGCCATTGGGCTCTTTGATGAGATGCTAAAAGCAAGAGTGGAGCCTAACGAGGTCACCTTTGTGAGTGTTTTGCATGCTTGTGCTAGGTCAGGTGCCTTGGGTCTAGGGAAATGGGTGCACCAATACATGACTGATAAAAATGTAAAAATGTGTCTCTTCTTGGAGAATTCTCTAGTGGACATGTATGCCAAATGTGGGGACCTTGACATGGCCATGAGGATCTTCAATGCAATGCCTCATAGGGATGTCATCTCATGGAATGCCATCATATGTGGACTAGCCATGCATGGCAACGGCACGCATGCTCTCGAACTTTTTTCTCTCATGAACAACGTCGTCGTTCGCCCCGACGCCATTACTTACATTGGAGTCCTCTCCGCATGTAGCCATGCAGGCTTGATTGATAAGGGGTGCCAATATTTTAGAATGATGAGGGATGTGTATGATATCAGCCCTAGAATGGAGCATTATGCTTGCATGGTTGATCTCTATGGTAGGGCTGGTCTCCTAAAAGAGGCAGAAGACTTCATAAGAAACATGCCTGCTATGCCTAATCTTCATGTGTTGGGGGCATTGCTTAATGCTTGTAAAATCCATGGTGATATGGAGATGTGTAAGAGGGTGGGGGATCTTATCAAAGAGATGGGGCTCCCTATAACTGGTGGTATTTATGCACTTATTGCAAATATGTATACTAATGCAAACAGATTGGTTGATGCCATTGAGGTGAGAGAAACTTTGAGAGATCAAGGAGTGAGAAAGTCACCTGGGTGTAGTTGGATTGAAGTTCATGACAGATGAACAGGATCAAAGTCCATGATGCCTGTGTGCCATGCTTGAAAACAGAACATATTTATTTCAAAGTTTACGAGACAAAAAGTGCTGGTTATTGCAGGAGAGGGAGATTATTTGTGTACAAGTTTTTCATATACCCAAAAGAGGGGTTTGAGCAACTCGCTTGTGTGCGGTTTCACTTCGACTAAAATTATATGGACTGTTTTATATCCTTCAATGATGAAAGGGGGGAATTACATGCAACAAACTGAAGTTCAATCATCTCTCCCAAGAGCCTGCAGGTTTGAACTCGGTTGGCAACACATGTCCGCATATATTGTTAGTATTGGCGCGTTGCAGCTTTTATGGACTCGGCCGATGTGACTCTGACTCGGCCAAGTGCCTGTGCCCTGTATCGATATTCTATATGTATTATTATTCGTCGGCTCATTCGCACTGCGCCTACGCGGCTATTTGGCTAGTAAAGCAAAAATTCTCTTTTACAAAAGGAAAAAGTTTATATAAAGATACAATCTTATAATGTAGAACTATGGATGCATCTCAAAAATACATCGAAAAAAAAGTAGTTTTAATGTTAAAAAACCTTTTGATTGATCATCTCGACATTGAGATGTATGATTATAAAAAATTAAAAGATTTCAAGTCTCAGAAATAGTGCATTTTACAACATATTATCTACACCAGTCCATTTTCAAGATTTTCATATATATATAAATCTACTTGATTTTAACCATTTTGAGATTATCTTAAAAATATTTTACAACAAAATTATATACCATGATAAAATTTGAAGGTGCACCTTACCTCTACAGCTACGGATGCATCCGTATGCCAACTCCACCTTTTACAAAAAGCAACCCTTTGCAAAGGGGGCTGAACCACTTGTAAAGGGACTTAAACAAATTACCTGTGTGATGCTTTCATACTTCTATTAAATAAAGGTATGTTTTTGTATATAAACTTTATTTAGGTTCATTATTATTATTTTTTTAAGATGGCATGAACTGGCCCGAGTTACTCGGACTCGGCCAAGTAACCCAGCTTCGCCAGGGTCCGAGTACTTTGGCCGAGTCTCTGTTTTGAACATTGGCGTGTTGCTATTCACATCAAATGCGATTTTCTATGACCCCATTTGGTCATCCCAACTTAGTTCATGATTGTTTATTTTTTAGAGAAATTTATGCGTGGAATGCAAAAGGATGAGGTATTATTACATAGTCCATATTTTATGACATATTATATTATATTGACGTGTTGCTTTTTTTTTTAGTTTTTTATTCCTATTTTACCTCTCTCGAAAAATCTATAAAAAAAAATAATAATTATGTATTTGGATAGTTTGAAAGTCCGACTTCCGAACTGCTTAGACCATGTTCTTTGGCAGTTCAAAAGTTTTAAAACTGTGTTTTGGTGGTTTAAAAGTTAGATTTTAAACTAACCATTACTTTTTTTTTTTTTTTTTAGGTGTTTCAAATATTGGATTTCTGAGCTGCCCAAACACATTTTTTTTATTTTTTATATTTAAGTGGTTCAAAAGTTAGACTTTCAATCAGCTAAAACAACATGGGTAGTTTTGAAAGTCGGGGTTCAAAAGTTGAGCTTTCAAACCGCCGAAAATATGAGATGGTTACTCAAGATAAATTCTACACATGAAGTGGCTCGATGTCAACAATGTCGAACACTCATGTACTCAAAATAAATTTTTAAAAGGAGTCGGTTCAATATTTTAAACATGGAATAAGGTAAGGGAATGGGGTTGAGATTATCGAGTAACACCACTTCTGCCGCAGTTATTAATATAGGTTACCATTTTCACTGACACCTTTAAAAATTGCTAACTATTTCTAAAACGGGTAGGGGTATATATTCCCTACTGTAGTGTTAAGGTGGCCAAAAAAAGGCCGGGAAGTTGGAATAAAGTTAAGACTATTGAACAATAGAAAATGAAAAAAAAAAAAAACTATAAAAATCTCGCCCGATAGCATAAAAGCTTCGTGTAGATCAATGGTGATAGAGAGAGTGTAGCAAGTTCAATGGCAAATCCCACTCTTTTTCCATTCACCATCCGAGCATTAATTGGGTGATGATGGACACTTAAATTTCTTTAGTATACGTATGATGGGTGCGGGTTTGTATAAAGCGCCAACCTTAAACAATTCAAGTAAGGTGTGCCTCCAAATTATGCTAAAACCATCGACATAATGGGAGCCTCCAAAGTATGCTAAAAGATGTAATTTTGGCATCAACAACTTTTGCAATGGCCTAAAAAATTATATTCATCTTTAATTGTGAAATTTAAAGCTTTAAAAATGATGCTCATCAAGTAAATCTTTAAATATTTGAAAAATCTTGAAAATGAACGATCAAGATAATGTGTTATATTATTGATTTAAAAAATGCTGAGCTAGCACAGAATCGTTCGCTTCGACCTGGGAATCGATCTTTCTATGCCGATTATGTCAATATAGAGGAAATCGTTCAGGTCTATGAGAGAACCCATGATTTGCTACAGTAAAACGACATTTTGCTATAATAAAAATGTCGATTCACCGATCCGGACCGGTTTTTGGTCGTTTTTTTGCACTCATTTTTTGCTGATTCACTATTTTTCCATACAGTAAAACAACATTCTAGATCGCCGATTTATAGATCCAGATTGGTTTTTGCAATGTGCAATCCTGGTTATCGATCTGTTTTTTAAATCACTGCGCGACAAGATGTACTAGTTTTAAAAAAATTAATTTATATATATATATATATATATATATATATATATAGAGGTACAAGTATTATTGTAGTT